ACCGGTGCAGGCACGTGGTGCTTGATGCACGATGGCAGGATTAATAGAGGCACAGCCGCAGGGAAGGATGGCGAGGCATCGTGTTGAGCCAAGGGCAGGCAGGTTGGAGGGTAGTTATAGGATATTGGAGGGTATAACAGCTAAATAATGAATAATTAAAGGCTCAGTGGCAACAGAAGCCAAAATGCCCCTATGTGCACAGGGCACAGAATCCCCCCACCGTCTGGCTAAAAAACGGGGGTGCAAATTAAGTGACTTGAAGCATAAGACTAGTTACACAGGAACAGCCTTAGAACGTGCCAATACATCTACTAAAAAGTCATAAAGCAGAAGCCAAAAACATCTGTTTCAGCAAATTCACCTAAAAAAAACTGGTACAATTAAGTCACGTTGGTCTTACATGAGTCAACAGTGAACAAGACCTGTCAAAGGCACAAATGATGACAAAAAATTATTCAGTTTCTCTCTATTTTTTAACTGTTTTTGTTGTGAATAAACCAACCCCTATGAATGTGTAGATCATGCTTTGAATAAAACAAATTTAAAATGATCCAAGCAAAATATTTTACATGCAAAAAGCACTGAGAAATTAACACTTTACCTGACGGGGCACAAATAATGTAGTATTATGTGACTATTTATATATTAATTAACCACAAACAAGTCTTCGTTACATACTAATCTCATGTTTGTTCATCGTTAATGAATGGTGATGCATCTTTTATCCGAAGCAGTTATTCTATTCGTTACTATATCTGTTAATTCTGTAAATCTTTGTGAACTACTGAAGGAACAAGTCATGAATAACACAAGTGAAATACTGATCTCATGTTTGTTCATTAATGAATCATGACGCATCTTTTATCTGAAGAAGCTGCTGTATTTGCTCACGATTTGTACTTTGGTAGTAATTGAATTGTTTGTAAGTATGTGTCCAGTCAAGTAAAGTGTTACCCAGAAAGACATTTTGAAGATGATGCATTTTTTTAGTAACTTTCTCGTTTTGCCTGCGGTTAACTGTTAGACGTGATTTGACATGAAAAGCCCAAAGGGTGAGAAACTCACGTAGCGTAGCCAAAAACAATGTTAGCCGTCACCTTCAGGGGCCCCGGTTGTGGAATGACGTCATCGTTCAGGTTTCTAGGGCAACAGTTCATATGGGACAAACTAAGCCAAAAACCATGCAGCAGATTAAAAAAAAAAAAAAAAAAAAGTTAGCTTGGCTTTATGCGGATATAAAACCACTAAAATACCTTGTTGTTAAGTGTTTCAAGTGTGTAAGTAATGGTGATTCATTGATAGGTGCGGAGTTTCCGAATAACCGAGAAAGCAAACTACTCTGGGCAGGTCTGAGCCAGTTCCCAGCGAGTGCTGCAGTAATGAACTGCTGCCAGGTGAATCTTCACGGAGGGGAAGCAGGGCCTGCCGTAAAAGCGTCTTATTTAATACTAAATACCCTCAATACATAAGCAAAAAAATCTGTTCTTTTTTCCATCAGTAAAAACAAGATAGATGTGCTATTCCTCTATTTTAAGACTGATTTGCTACTTGGGTTGAATGAATTTCAAGTAAAGAAATATTAAGGTTAATACATACAAATTACTTAAAGGACCTTAATGTGTTCAGATGTGTTTAATGTGTGTCTGAAAGCACGAGTGTCAGGCCAGATGCGTGAGAACTGGCAGCCCTGCATAAAGGTGCAGCTCCTGCGCCGATGAGGAAGGTACCGTTTGCGACACATGTCCAGTAGGAAGACATTGAGCCCCGTCTGACGCTCCTGCATGCGCTGCAGCACGTCCTGCACCCACAGACAGTGTTCCGAGGTGTAAGATGCGGGCGCGTCGATGGGCACCATGAAGCTGTTGCCGTAGTTTTCATAACCGTGACCCGCAAAGTACAGCAACCCTGAAGTGCGACAGGAGCACTTTACAGCAAAAAAAACTTAAGGAAAAAAATGACTGAGCGACAAAGACTGTTAGACATGCTGACAAAGGTTCAGAACACAATGGTAATTAGCGGGGACAGTCACACGATTATCACCGTCTGCTCTGCCAGCTGGCTCCCAGTCAATATAAGCTAATGACATGGTGCTCATTCAGACTGAAATACAGCCTACAGGACCACATGCGCCAGTGACTGACTGAGATACGGCCTACAGGACCCCATGCGCCAGTGACTGACCGAGATACGGCCTACAGGACCCCATGCGCCAGTGACTGACCGAGATACGGCCTTCAGGACCCCATGCGCCAGTGACTGACAGATACGGCCTTCAGAACCCCATGCGCCAGTGACTGACAGATACGGCCTACAGGACCCCATGCGCCAGTGACACAGATACGGCCTTCAGAACCCCATGCGCCAGTGACTGACTGAGATACGGCCTACAGGACCCCATGCGCCAGTGACTGACAGAGATACGGCCTACAGGACCCCATGCGCCAGTGACTGACTGAGATACGGCCTACAGGACCCCATGCGCCAGTGACTAACCAGCTGAGTACTCTGTGAATGTCACTCTTCATGCTTGACTGGTTGGTTGAAACAATATCTTGGTCTGCATTTGTACTTTCTGAACCTTAACTTTCCCTTTCTGAGCCAAGTAAGATACCTCAATAAGCAAAGAATATTCACAAAACACCAGACTTGAGCTTCATAAACCACAGTTTAACACAGTTGTAATTTAACGTCAAACTGGCCGTGGCATGGATGCTCTCTGTGACATTGTGGGTCTAATAATCTGCAAAGCGGCAATGTGAGAGCCCCTGACTGCCAGCTGACTTCAGCTATACAAGCAGCCTTAGTGGCACAGCTTCCAAACATAAGGAATTTCCTTCCAAAGTCCTTCGTTGAGGTGATCAGACAAGACCAATCAATCGCTGAGACATCTGAACAGAAACTCCGCGAAGACACCCCCCAGACTGACCGTACACGCCGCGGTCCAGCAGCAAAAGGAACTCTGTCACAGCGCTGTGCATCTCCTGCCAGCTGAGGTCCAGCAAGGACACCACCTTGAAGTCCAGCTGCCGCAGCAGGTTGGTGAGCTCGTGGACGTCGGCCATGGGGGCCTTCAGCTGCCGGTGGTGCTGATAGTTCATGTTCCCAATGAGCAGAGCCACCTTGTCTGTCGCTGAGCAGGAGAGACCAGACTGAGAAGCACGGGCCCAAATACAGCAACACTGCTGCTTTACTGGAAGCTCTTTATGTTCTATAAACTTTCAACTTCAATCAGTAAAACCCTGGCAGCTATCTGCCTCACTCATGTCACTTTGGACAAAAGCTTTAATTAGTGTAATTTAAAAATGGCATATTTACATTGCAAACCACATTTTTTCAAGTATGTTATTATTCAATCTCTTTTAACAGAAAATGAAATTCTATAATTAATGCACACTTCCCGAGAGAAACAGTACAAGCTATACTGCGTGACTGAGCTTGGAACAATGAGCATTAAGGACAGGACAAGAAGTTCACAGCGTGTTGGCAGATGGCACTGTGCTTGGATTTGCACGCTGCGCTTGGATTTGCACGCTGCGCTTGTGGTGCTCACCATAGAAATGGCGACGCTGCCTCACTGGGCACGCAGACGAACCTGTTAAAAAAAAAGCTAGTTAATGAACACGGGTCTTTCACAAGCATCACTCAGAATGTCAGACCCGTTGGGTGTGAGACATACCTTGGACATTCTCAGCCCAGCAAGATTCAGAGAATGAGCAGGGACCTAATAATCACAAACCAGGTTGTTTAAAGTCTAACATTATAGTAAGAGATTTACTATTGCATGTATGTATGTTTGCTTAGGGGACTGCATACATAATAGTTACATGTTCGGTACTACTTATGCTTTATTTTGTACATTGTTATTTGTATTACAGATAAAATATAATGTGGAAGCAAGCAAATGTATGTTTTACTCTCTTGTTGATTAAAGACAAAAAGCTGGTTTACTTCATGTAAATACACTGCCCGGCCAAAAATAAATTGAATCACAAATTTAATTTAAATCAGCAAATACTTAAAACCTGATGATTGGATCATTATTACAGCTCAGCAACATTATGGACCAATAAAGTGAAGTCAGCTGACTTCCTGAACCTACTGGATGGCCAGGTTACACCCCCATCCATCCATCATCAATGGAGCTTTTCTTCCCTAATGGGTTGGGCATATTCCAGGATGATAATGCCAAGGCTCATTGGGCTCGAATTGTCAAAGAGAGGTTCAGGAAGCATGAGGAATCATTTTCACACATGAATTGGCCACCACAGAGTCTTGACCTTAACCCCACTGAAGGTCTTTGAGATGTGCTGAAGAAGACTTTATGGTTCAACTCACCTATCATCAACACAAGACCGCGGTGAGAAATGAATACAAATCAGATGAAAATAAATGTTGAGATGTTGCATAAGCTTGTGGAAACAATCCCATGACAGATGTGCACCATCAAAGCTAAAAGCGACCCAACAAAATAACAAAGTGCCACTTTATTTTGGCCGGGCAGTATAGATTTCCAAGACATTTGTAACAGGTGTTCCCCTGTATAACAGACCACAGAAGTACTTGCTGTACTTCACACTTACCGACTGACACATAAACTTCATCACTCCAGACCTCCTGGTAGCGATTGTACACTCTGCAGCTATACTGCCCCCTATCTGCAGTGGTCACACATGGAATCTAGAAACACAACATGTGTTAAAAACAATATCTGAAAATAGCACAGTAAGTCCAGAAGCAACCCCAATTTAGCAACAAAAGCTAACAAACGTAAAGAACTCTGAAAATGACCAAAAAGCCTAAACATAGATAGCAACTAGTCCTAAAACAAATAAACCAAGCTTGGTATAACTTCAACAGACTGTTTATGCCCCTTATTAGGAACAGAAAGAAGTGTGACCTTGAGATGGGAATCCACAGCCTGAGGCAGAGGGTCCTTGTTGTGGTACCACTGGTACTCAGGAGCGGGATTTCCCTCAACTGTACATTCCAGATGCAGGGATTCCCCCTCAGACGCGGCCACACTTTGGGGCTGCCCGATGATGCACAGATCCCTCACAGAGGAGAAGTTGCAAATAATTCCTGAAAGACACCAAGGGATCCTGTCATGTTGTTTGAAATACCAAAGCTGGTCAGACAAAGTCCAGAAGCTATGGAGGCTTTTGGCCAGCGGGTCTAAAAAGGCACGACCCTGTCAGGTCTCATGTGCAGCATTTAGAGGTTTAACTGCATTCCGTCCCAAGTCAGCCAAGGCCACCGGGTAGGTTCATAAAGAAGCTGAGTACTGAGTGAACCAAAGCTGCATGTTAAGCAGTGATGCTTGAAATGACCCCTAAAAGCGCCAAGAAGCGTACCCATGCTGGCGCTGCAGGAGCTGACGCGTGCCCACTGGGAGAAGACGAAGTGCTCCGCCTGGCTCACACGGCAGATGTAGTGCCCCTGCAGAGCTGCCGCAAACGGGCACAGCACCAGCTCGGGCCCACTGCCACCAGGAACCTAAAAGCACAGACAAAGCAAAACATCAAACCACATGCAATTGCTTGTTAGCTTTTTTTGGCAAACAAATCACAAACACAAGGAGTAAAACATCTACAATGAGTGTTACTGTACTACTGATACTAACAGCAGTGATGAAAAAAAATGATTTATTACCATTCAGGCACCTAGCCAGGGAGTACAATTATACAATCACACAACCACTCTCGAAAAAAAAATTTCAGCCCCACAGTTGGTAAAATCTACAAAGGGGGGTGCCGTTCCCCCCCAGTCATTTGGAAAATCTATCCCAATGTACCAATAGGGTCGTCAGACCCCCCCCCCCCCCCCCCAATTTTTTTTCTGACAATCCCACTCAGTACCTGTAGGTGTGTGAGAGGATTTTCTCTCACAGAATCACAGCTTTAATGATCGAAAAACGTACCCTTGTTCACAACTTCTACATGAGGGCAAGAGCCCTTCCAATGAAGTAAATAAGACACGTGTCATTAAAGCCAACCTCCGCCTTTCCCTTAAACCACTGGTAGGTCAGGCCCGTGGGGCCAGCCGCCCGACACTTCAGAATCACACTCTTGCCCTCCTGCACAAACTGAGATTCCGGCTGCACTGTAATCCGGATCTGCTCCATCACTTCAAAGGAAGAAAGAAAAGAATTACAATGTTTCAGGTACCATTTGTCCCTAGTTATCATACAAGTGCATTTGTTTTCAGTTGTTACAAAACTGACAACTAAAAGTTGATAGTTATTATTGACATACACATGTAATCACTGGATTTCCCCAATGGATGTAAACAAACATAAAGACTTCAAGTGTTCAGAAAAGGAGAGAAAAATGGAAAAGAGAAAATGTTAGCAGAGGTGATTACAAAAAGAATGGTGGGTTATTAACATTAATGAATGTTGAAAAACTGGCTAAGATCTCATACCTAGGGAACCGAAAGAATAGAAACAAATTTGCTTCTACAGAGACCCCCATGTGAAAATGAGGGGGAACATGAGTGACCCCCATGTGAAAATGAGGGGAACATGAGTGACCCCCATGTGAAAATGAGGGGAACATGAGTG